CCCCCCCCCCCCCCAAATACAACCTCCCTTCCCAGGAAAGAAAATACTCTGCTTTTGAATTATATATTTAAACTAAAGCATTTATACATCTCTTGAATATTTTACTAAGATAATAAAGGAGACAAAAATGAAATATGAAATTTGCCATTATGAAATTATATGTCATTTTTAATCAAACAAACACTGTCATTTTACCATTTTTCTATAAGCAAACAAATGCTATTTTATCTGCATTTCATTTGATTTTAGTGAGTTTTCAGAATAAAAATAAAAAAGGAAAAGAAAATATGTATGCTATGGGGTTGTGGAGAAACAATTTAAACAGACAGCAAGTTCATCAAAGGGATTTTCCTTGATGAGTGAGATTTTCCCCACCTTTACCTGGTGACACACCTTGATAAAAGGCAGGCAACGTGACCAAGGGGACGGGGAGGGGGGGGTAAACAATTCAGAGTGTCAGTTCATCAAAGGGATACATGGAGATTGTTTACCCAAATACCTAGAGATACAATATGATTAATGGCAGGTATTTATATTTTTCCATATCACATTGTTCATTACCGCATCTATTTTCATTCATTACAGGTGGCAATTGTCCCGAGGGGGGGGAGGATTATCCGGGGGGGGGGGGGGCATTGTCCTGATAACGGCCTTTCTATGGGCACGCGAATACTTGTCCTTTTTTTTCAAACATACATTTCCAGCGATTATACAATCGGACCATTGGAGCGTTAAACAAAACAGCTAGAGGTTTATTTCTAAGAATTCATACTAGCATCCCTTCAAAAGTAGTAACAACACCACAAAGCAACTCGTGCACGAAATTTTGGAATAAATAATTCATCATTATTTAGCATAGTTGATAAATACAGTACATACTAAAACCAAAAGGTTGTCCGACCTCTAGCGATGGGTCGCCTCACTGGGACGACTTTCGTAACTCGACCCCTGGTTTTAAATAGGACTAGTGACGTGCGCGCTGAGACCAGAATCTGCCGGTGTTCTTGAGAAAGTGGTTTGTCTGATGGTCTCTCGTCTACTACGACTTCCTTGGTAAGTAAGATATACGTGTGTTAAGCACTACAGATAAAATCTAGGGAATATATATTCAACGGATTATGAAAATTAGTATTGGCTTGAAGGTGCGGGTGGGAAAAAGTATGTTTTTTTACACTAATTGGATGCCGTGCCTGTTAAAAAAATTATCGTTAATTTTTGAAGAAGAAAAATAATGTAATTGCCAATAAGTAAAATATTTGCGCAACACTTTTACATAGTAGATACCAGAATGGCTGAGGAAGAATGTAATCATTAGTTCAAACATTGTAAGACCAAATGATGTAAATTTGAGTTGTTGAAGGCTGCAAATTTTATTAATTATTTCCCTGGAGAAACAGTAAAAAATGTGATATCATTGCATTAATATTTTCACGCGACCTCACTGCTTGGCATCAACCATGAGATAAATGCACATACGTTTTAATAAGACTTTAACGCATTTGTAAGGCACAACAATAGTTCGTAGTGCTAGCCCATTAACATGGGGGCGCTAACCGGGGATGAATGCGTTCCGCGTGTTACTCACCTTACGTAAGTAAGGGTATCCGGTTTACTTGAATGACCTACAAAACGTAAATATCGTTACCTGGCCTGCCCGTGCAGTCAACCATTTCTTTATTTTCATTGTAGGCTCTTTGTGTTCCTTTAAAACGCAGCATTTTACTTTGAACCTAATTTCAACATAGTTCACAACTCGTTTGTCTTCAGTTGTATTTAGCGTGTCAGGCAGCATTCTACTGAATGAACGCAATGCATCCCAGTAAGTTTTTCGATGAGGATTCATCGTAATCACCGTGTTGATCTTGTATAAGAAATAAATAAATTACATTGAAAACGCATCATATAAAGATCAGCTATGAAAGATAAAATGTGCCCGAGCTTTTGGCTTGTGTGCTTTCTTCAGGGACTAAAGAGTTTGTGTATTATTCTTATTTTAGTCCCTGGAGACGGGTACACAAGCCGAAAGCTCGGTAACTTTTTATCAATTGTAGTTGATGTTTATAAATGCGTTTTCGACGTAATTTATCAGTTTTTCGTTATGATTGGTTAATTTCGTCGGCTAAATTCAAAAACTATTCAAAGGAATTTCTGTATTGCTTTTTGATATGTAACATTAACCTACAACCATCATTTTCTAGGGGTCAATGTTTCAAAACACGGTGTAGGAAAGCATTTGTATAGCATGATGATGACGCTGTTTTTGACCTTCCTTGCTGTCCTGTACAGCTTTAGCGTTGGAACATGCAGCATATTACTACGCGAGGACGCCAAGGACGATCTTACGAAGGTTGTCGTATTCAACCAGGAAGACATCTCCAGAGAGGGCTCTCCACGCGCCAGGAATCAGCAAACCCCAAATGCCACGGCGATGGAGATGGTGGTAATAACAACCGATGCCGACAACAGGCCGGAGAATAAGTCCACGTGTGGTCAGGGGAAGAACCACACGGACAGCAGAGAATTGGTCAGTGGCTGTAAGTACACATTTATAGCAAGCGACCAGGACGAAATGGCGAGAAGCTACATGTACGGATGGGTAGCTATTAAGAACATCACCAAGGAAAGTCAATCATGTGTATTCGAATACGAATGTGATTTTGTGATGTTACAAGATACGAGTCACTTGTGCAACTGGAGAGTTGAGAAAGGTAAAGGTGATGACAATTTCTACGTCCCGATTTTCCCCGAGACGAATATACTTTTTGATAGATATAAGATATGTAAAGCTAAAGCTTGGCATCAGGAAAACTATGTTGGCGCTTGTTTCCCAAAGTGGGACCGTTTCGGCAACCGGTACTTAGCAGAGAATCAAATCATCCCTGGTTCTAATGAAGACCGTGTGCCAATGGGTCGACTATCGTGGTTTAATCCGGTGTGGGACACGCAAAAAACGTCCTGTGTCCTCTCCATTACGAACAAGAACCGTAATGGCCACGTGGCTGTACTGATACCAGATACGGTAAAGTACATTGAAATCACCGATGGCAAGAGCGGCTCTTCCCTTTCGCCGCTTTACAAACATTCCAGCGTCGTCATATCCAGCAGTAATCAGATAAAGATGACATTTACAGACGAGTACAACAAAAAGATGTTCAACGCATTTTACAACTATTTCAGGTTTTCCTACCTGTTTTTGCCAGGCGATTATAAAAGTTCAACAAACTACGTACTCCCAACCATAACTAACTGTGGACAGGCAACGTCGATGTTGGATTTTGAACACTCGTTGACGATCAGTATAAACGGCATATCCTCGGATGAAATATACGACTGTGTATGGCTTATTCCTCTAAACGGAAGCAAACTTCATATACACTTTGAAGAATTTGACTTCGGCAATAAGACAATACGTAACCCTCACTTGTTTTCAGATGCGGTATACGATGAATGGAGCCAAGACAGCTTTATGACACTAATTGCTTATCGATCTGGGGATAACGGCAGCATGTTTCTTGGGAAGTTTGACGCGTCCAATACCACGCCTAACACTTCTGTTTTCCTTTCTCCACCGGATGATTCTGTGGCTCTTTATCTGCGTTTAAGAAGTGTTAAGCTGGACGCCGTAGGTTTCCGCATTATTATGAATTTGTATCACACTGGAAATGGTAGCGTTACGGATGTCGAGACGGTGCTTAGGTGTAACAACGGTGTCTACGTTGATTCGTCCACTGTGTGTGACGGACATAACCACTGTGGAGACAACTCCGATGAGAACGCCGAACTTTGCGATTCACAGAGATCAAGGCCGAACAACTGCACGCGCTTGGAATCCGGGTGTTTGATGCTCGATCCAGCTGATTCTCACGTGGTAAGAAAGACCCCATGTTGTAGCTTTAACCCTTATACCGAACCGTGTATGTTTCCAAACCTGAAAGATCCATCGCAGGCTGGTGCCTGTTGTCCCAAAATGGGCACGAATGTCGTCTGCGATTACATCCCAGACCCAAACATTTGGGAGAAGAACATTAACTGGTTCATCATCGGAGGGACGGTTATGTTCGTTATCTTTTTCGTCATTGTAGTTTTGATTTGGCTCAGACGTAGGGGAATGATTCGAATATACGAAAGAATTCCTGGTGACAGTGTCCCAGCATCAGAAGCTTCGGGTTCAGAGGAAGAAATTACTGCCTATTCACGCCCGTACCTTTCTGGCTTACCTCCTGACATTCATTAACAAATGATCGAAAGCAAGTGACATTCAAAGACGCACTTGGAAAACTGAGGTGACAAATCCAAAGGAAGAGTGGTCACATAAGGACTGCTTTCTTAGACTAATGGTCCAAAACCATAG